CCCCAGCAGCTGCAGCAGCAGTTCCCAAGCCGAGTCAGAGAGCTTCTGAAGCCCCGCCAGCAGTTACCAAGCCCAGACCGTCAAAAGCTTTGGCGCCTCCGCCCAAGGCAACAGCTGCAACAGCACTTCCCTCGAGCCCGTCAGAAGTCGCAACAACAGCTGCAGCAGGAGTTCCCAAGCCGAGTCCGACAGCTTCCCCGCCAAAGCCAGCAGCTGCAGCAGTTCTCGAGCCGAGTCCGACACCAGTTCCCAAGCCGAGTGCGCCAGCTTCGCCGCCAGCAGTTCCCGAGCCGAGTCCGACAGCTTCCCCGCCAAAGGCAGCAGCAGCAGCAGCAGCAGTTCCCGAGCCGAGTCCGACACCAGGTCCCAACCCGAGTGGGCCAGCTTCGCCGCCAGCAGTTCCCGAGCCGAGTCCGACAGCTTCCCCGCCAAAGGCAGCAGCTGCAGCAGTTCCCGAGCCGAGTCCGACACCAGGTCCCAACCCGAGTGTGCCGCCAGCAGTTCCCGAGCCGAGTCCGACAGCAGCTTCGCCGCCAAAGCCAGCAGCTGCAGCAGTTCCCGACACGAGTCCGCCGAAAGCGGCCCCGCCAGCACTGTCCCCGCCAGGGCTTCACCAGCCGACTTCGACAGCTGTGGTGTCTTCCGGCCCCCGAGCACCAATTCTGGTGCAAGCTCCGACAATAGCCGCAATCGACAGAAGATTGCGGCGGTTGATGACCCCCAACGCAAAAGGGCAGCACAAGGTTTCGGATCATGTCCGATCGATGTATGCCAACCCGGACGAGAAGGGCAAGGTGATCAGGATGTTTGAGAACTGCGGCTTCAGTGCGGACCGGGTTGGGAAATTTTGCATACATACCAGTGCCACTTGTACGTATACATGTCTGTACACATTCTGTAGCTGAGAGGAAGCCTTCGCGAAGAAATACAAGTTCACCGTGAACAGGGAACAGGAGTCCGAGCTGGAAATTCCTTTCGAGTTTCTCTCCAAGGAGGAGATGGCCGATCCGCCGTACAATATGAGCGAGCTACCCAGCTCTGTCATATGCACACATGCATATGTACATCATGTGCACACACATGCGATATTTCTGTTTTTAGCATATCTAGACATGCACGTATACACACACACACACGCACACACACACACACACGCAGACATTTAGAGACATCTCAAAACCCGCTTTAAAACCGAATGTAGGAACCTGATTAAGAAACTCTGCTTCTTTATTATAGGGTTCTTCATATAGCCCTCCCGACGATCGTCTAGGTACAAGCTATTTAAAATTTGGGTTTATAGGACCATGCAGGGTTTCTTAATCAGGCTCCTACATTACATACACATATAAGACCTATAGTCTAAACCCTTTATATGTAAACACCTTACATCCGGAGAGTCGGAGAGCTCAAACTGGAGCTGAGCCCGGAACCTTCAAATCCCAAAGCGCTAAATTCTAACATAGAAGCCAAAACAACTACCAAGATTATTCCCTATATAGGGTTCCTGCTTATTCAACCGGAGCCCACATAGACTCCCACACCCGAAACTTCAAAGTCGACCCGAAGCCCTAAACCCTGTAAACCCGAAACCCTAACCATAAACCTATCCTCAGAGCAGAGCTGCGAACTCAGGAAGGACATCAATGAAGTGGTTCGCAAGGCCGAGGGCGACCCGAAGAAATTCGTCAGGAGATCGGGAGACAGGGTATGCTTCATTTTCGGGGCTATCCCTATACACTTATACCAACCCTATATAGGTTTATAGGGGTGTTTATATTATATAGGGATATGTATGTCTAGACTTTGTACATCTATACAGATTTAGCATGAAGCTCGATCGCACAGCCCAGGTCCCAATCTAAAGCCCCCGGGTTCAAGGTCCTATAGGGGATGCTTGTAAGACCCTCGAAAAAGATCCCGACATGATACAGTACTTGTCCTAGTTTTGGTTATATAGTGTTATACCTGCACGAAGCTTGACCCGATGAAGCTCGAAGCACAGCCCAGATCCCGATCTAAAGCCCCCGGCAATTCTCCAGACTCCAGCAGCATCAGCCAAAGGGTGCATTACCCTGGCAGGAAGCACACGTTCAAGGTCGGAGTCATTACGTACTACACCGAGCTCAAGGTGAAGGGGCATACGAAGTACCTTGCCTTGAGTAACTGCTGTGCTGCTCTTGAGATTTGATGTCACTTGTGGAGGTGTGTTTGCTAGCCGTCCTGGCTCTATGTGGTGCATACATAGTGGACTGATTTTCATCTCATCATTGTTTTATCAACCTTTTCATCAGCAAATTGCCGAGGCAGAGTGCCCGCAGCTCTGTCACGGAGGAGCAAGAGGTCGTGGATACGGAGCAGGCAGGTGTGGAGATGGACTTGACTACCGACTTCGTGTTCGCTCAGTCTTCCTCTGCCCTGCCAACAGCAGGTGCTTCGGCACTATATGCATGCATGGGGATTATTTCAGTCTTATAAGTCTCGCAGTAGCTTAGAACGTGCATATGGTTTCCATCATTCGTCTAGACAATCACTAAATTTTGTTCGGGTGTCATCCCAGATAGAGCGAGGAAGATGCATTATTTGTGTAAACATACAGGCACCAAACACCGAAGCTCCGAAATGCCGGGTCCAGATAACCAAACCATATGTTGCATCAACTATCCTGAAGAAGCCACACCGAAACGAGCCCATAAAGCCTCCAAAATAAAGGATACTTATCGTCCAGCCCCGAAGCCACGCACCCTCATTGCATCTGCATTGATATGGATTCCATAAATGTCATCTAAACCAGCTCCCTATATAAACCCTCAAGCCCAATTAAAAACCATTTTAAACCCTATAATCCCTTATGAACCCTCTATATACCCTTTAAAACCCTATAAAACCCTATATAAAAGCTCCAAGCCCCCAACCTTGCCACACGCGCCGCCAAGGTGAGATCTCGGCTGCCTCCAAGCAACTGGCTGACCCGGAGACACGTGAGCGAATCCATCAAGAAGCCGAGAAGACACTCAAGAAACTTGGGTGGCCGGAGCAAGAAACTGCAGTGGAAGCAGCGACATCCCTCCCGAAGTGCATTACGTGCATAACACGTCGACTTGCACGATTGACGGATGTCCAGTCTAGCCTGGAGAAATACCTCCCACCCCCACCGCCCCAAGATGCTTCGGATGCAGAGAAAGAGAAGTACAACAAGGGGATTCGACAGAAGATGCTTGTTGCAATTGTTGCGAACTTTACTTTGTCGGTTGCTGGGTTTGGTTTCACCGATCACCATGCAACTGGCCCAGGATGGTTGCAAAACTGCAAGGCTGCTACACCGAGATGGATTCCATAAGCGAGGAGCTTTCAGAGCTCAAGGCCACCGGTCTTGTGGAGGGATTCGAGATGTCGTCTGGCAGCACCATGAGGTTGCTTGAGCAATTCGGTTTTTCGTAACCCTTTAAACTGTGAAACATTGAACATGAGGATTCAACAAGAAGTTGCCACTCAAATGGCGAATGCTCGCAGGAAGTGTCTTGGCTTGCATGTTCATAGGTAAGGATTCGGGTTAAGGGGTTCAGGGTTTCGAGGTTATATAGGGGTATATAGGGCTAATTTAGGATTTTGGGGTTTTGGGAGATTTAGGATTAAGTTTATATATAGTTTATAAGGTTTTGGGGTTTTGGCGCTTTGGGCTTATACGGGATCTGGAGTACAGGGCCTATTTTGGGGTTTTGGAGTTTATAGAGTTTACCTGAAGCCCTTATGGTACCTTCTTCAAGGCAGAAACTCTGCAACTCGACCCCAAACCCCTATATAACCCCTATAAACCCTAAACCCCTTTATAAACCCCTATCCTAAACCCCTATAAACCCAAACCCTGCTCCCCTAAACCCATAAACCCCTTTATAAACCCTTAAACCCCCAAACCCCTTCATAAACCCTATAAACCCCTAAACCCCTCGAGCCCTAAATCCCTAAACCCCCTATATAAACGCTAAACGCCTTTATAAACATCCTATAAACCCCTATAAACCCAAACCCTGCTCCCCTAAACCCATAAACCCTTAAACCCCCAAACCCCTATAAACCCCTAAACCCCTCCCTAAATCCCTAAACCCCTATAAACCTATAAACTTCCTAAGGGGTGTTGCGGCTTTGGGATTTAAGGGCTTTGGCAATTGAAGAGTCATGCATGTGCCCATGGGCCAAGAGATAGGCCGGTTCGAAGTCTTCACATCGTCTCATGATCATTGGCTTCTCCCACCATCGCCGTATTGACCTCTGGCACCAATAGAACTTGTTGTCTCATCGATGCTTTCCCATGACCTCCGTCGGGTCCGGTGTCCTGGGTTCATCCCGCTGAGCGGTTCCGTTCGTAACATCCCAGGCGCCGATATTGCCAGCAGATGCAACAAGGGTATTTAGAGCTCATGGCTTAAGGGTTTATAAACCTTCGGGCAATATATAGTCCAATCTAAAGATTGTAATAAATATGCTGGTAGTTAGGGAGCTCTGATGTGTAGCCGTATACACGTATAAACGTAATTCAAGCCTCAGCTAGTGTCTGCAGTGTCGTGCTTCTTAATAGCTATATAATTATCCCTATATATGCCCTATATAGCTTTAAACCCTATAGGGGGCTTGTGAGGTTGCAACATGAGGGCTTATGTAGGAGTTTAGAGTTGATGGCTTACACAAGCCTGGCAAGATAGAGGGCTTTAGGGTTTTGTAATTAGGGTTGAAGAGCAGCCAGCCTCCATAAGCAGGTCCATCTTGTAGCCCGCATGCGGCTTCCTTGGGTTTATAAGGGTTTATGGTTTATATAAGGTTTTTATATATAGGGGCTGTATAGGGTTTATGTTAGCGACAGTGTTTCAGGCTATCCTGCTTGTTTATATCTACAATATCTATCGACCTGTCTATGTACGCAACCTTCGATACCATCCCCTACCTATGTTTATCGGTCTGTGTATCTATTCTCTATCTCTGTCTATCTATCTACCATATAGTATGTGTCTATCTCCCTATATCCCTCTCTCCCTCTTTTGTACCCACCGTCTATTGTACCTTATCTACAACCAATATTGACACTGTTATCCGAGGGTGGTGGAAAGCTGGGATCTTGAGTCTCGTGCAAGGACAGCTGTTGCATGTGGTCAATATATCCACAAAACAGTGTTAACTGGGCCAACTCCGCATTCGCCAGGATTCTGCTGCAAGACTATGCATCCACGTCTACTGAACCGAAAGTGAAGGCGAAAGCCAAGCCTGGAAAGGCCAAGCTGAATGTGAGAGCGCCACCGGCGACTGATGCACCGCCGAGCAAGAAGCCCAAGAAGTAGTTTCGTTGCTTACTGTTGGCTACAGCTTCGCTTGCTTTGCTAGATCACTTTAAGGCTCTTTTCGAAAAGCCAGCCCTTTTGCCAGTCTGTGCAGTGTTCGCAGGAGCTGCATGCAATCTAAGTACCATAGATGTTGCTGATGTTATGCGATTATATGAGCTCTGCCAGCTCTGCATGCTCGCACACCCTGCAATCGGCACTGCAGACGACCCCTCCGAAGCCCTTCCGAAGCTTCTCGAGTGCCAAAACAACCGCCCGGGTACATGTGCTAGCGATTTCCGCTGGAATGTATGTAACCCCATATACCAAAACGAACGCCAGGCACTAGCCAATTCGAGAGCCCAGCTCTGGAAGCTTTGGCCGAGACAGTGGCTGATGGTGCCACGTGGTATGTGATTAAGTCCGCTATAGGCGCTAGTTGTGTGGGTTTTGTTTCTGTTCAATTGGGGTTGGGGGTTTCGGCTTTTGGTTTTGTGGTTTAATTGGGCTTTTCGGGTGTTGGGTTGAACGTCGGATCGTGATACTAGCAACCCTGTATATGTAGACCCCAATATATAACCCTATATACACATTCCTATATAGTCAAAACCCCTATATAACCCAATACCCCAAAACCCTCAACAAGTCTGACAATTCAATCTATGCCTGTGTAGGGGTACTGAAATTAAAGAACCCCTTCATCAGCGCCACCCGCAAGTTTCTTGCAAACAAGAGTCAGTGCAGCTTAGGCCTAAACTAGACACCCTAAACCCCGAACCCCAAGCCCTGAACCCTTAAACCCCGAACTCCGAACCTCAATAACCCATAAACCCCGAACCCCAAACCATAAACCCATAAAAACATAAGCCCGACAACCGGGAACCTAGTATATGTAAGGCTGAAGACCAGAAGATTCCAAACCTGGCCAAACCCAACAGCCCCCCATAATAAGCCTGTATATCCACTATCCTAGGCGCCTGCGAAGCTGATTGGCCAAGTCGCCCGAGCATTCAGAGATGAGCAGAAATTAGAGGCGACGGGTCAAACCTCAGAAGGTGTTGCTGCGGCAGCTAGGGTTCATACCCACCATGGGGAGAGGGATGCTCATAGGGCGTTTAGACGGTTCGGTCTCACGCTAGGGGTTCCTATATCAGAGCTTGCCGTAGCTGTTGATGAGGGAGACCCCTCGATCATTCCTCACCTCAAGATTGTTGACTTCTTTACCTACCTTCTACAGAAGCATCCAAAGGTTTTGTTTGGAGGTACGCCTATCGGAGAAATCAGTCAAAAGAAGTGTCAACAATTTTGGCAGAGGTTTAAGCTTGCACAGCCGGACCACAAAGTCTTCGAAGCCTACCCATCCCATGAGGACTGGAAAACCATCATACCTGTATGCCTCCACGGGGATAAGGGTAGAGGGATGTCAAAACTTCCTTGCTTTGTGTTCTCATGGGAGGCCTCTATAGGTCTTTCGGAGGATGTTCGGCAGAAGGGCCCTGGTTACCGAAGCCCCGGTGTTCATGGCAACAAACTTTCATGGTCTTGCAAGAAAAGAAAGCGAGACCAGTGTCCGGAGCTCGATCGCGATGAACCCCCGGGTGCATGTGAATCGTGCCCGCTGCATCATGAGCATCGTGCCGACCCCAATGAGGTCAGCATCCCGCACAACGGGAAGGGCCATTCCTTCTTGAGCAAATTCTTGTTTGCTGCAATTCCACACAAAGTGTTCAAGGACAACGGTGCTGTTGTCCCGGCTGTGCTGGATGCTATGGCCGACTGCATGATTGAGCTTTTCACCGCCGGAGTACAGTACAAGGGGCAGTGCTTCCGAGCAGCCGTGTGTGGGATCAAAGGCGATCTCGAGTTTCATCATGAAATTGCTGCTTTTGACCGTTGCTATGCTACGGCCGGAACAGTCAACAATCTTATGATGTGTCCGCAATGCCACGCCGGCACGGATCAGCTTCCATACACGGATGTTTCAGATTCTCCGGCATGGGCCTCGACATGCCATGCTTCGGTGCCATGGTCTGCTCTGCCAAGACTTAGTCGTATTCCTTTCTGCTCGGCGAGGCCAGCTGCAATGTACCGATTTGACATTTTCCATTGTCTAAAATTCGGGATCTTGAAAGACTTGGGGGCATGTTTGCTGATCGAGCTGGCAAGCCATGGCATGTTGGATTGTGCGGGTGTCCGTGAAAGTGTAGGGTTGCCGGCACGCTTGGAGCGAGCCCACATGCTCTTCAAATTGTGGTGTGTTGCAGAACGCCGCAACCCGAACATCCGCAAGTTCACGAAAGGAACATTGCATGTGACAAAGATTGGATTCCCGTTTCTGGGTGGCAAAGGTGCTGATGCTGTGTTGTGCTGCATGTTCCTGCAATTTTTCCTTCGACTGAACCTTCCAGAGGTCCAGAGACCTGATCTGAAGAGATTGCTCAAAGCAATGGAAGAGACCATCACTGGCGCACTGGATTTTCTTGGGGTGCATCATTCACACCAAGTGTTTTTGAAGCCATACTGTGCAAAGTTTGTCCATGTGTCAGGGATGAAACTTTTAAGGGGTTACGCATACCTCGCAAGCAGGGCCATCCAAGAAGGCAAGAGGTTGTACAGTTTACGACCGAAACTACACTATTATCACCATGTGCTCCTAGACTTGGAGACCCAAATTCGTCGGCGAGATGAATGGTGCCTAAATCCGGCTCTTTTCGGGTGTGAAAGTAACGAAGATTACATAGGGCGAATCAGCCGGCTGTCAAGAAAAGTTTCGCCGAAGTCTATCAGCCAGCGAACAATTGATCGCTACTTGGTGGCGGTGAAGCTGTTGTTCCGGAAGCATGGCCTTTGAGATGTGTTCCTGTTATACTACTTACGAGGCTCCTGTATAGGCTCCATGCAATCACATATGCCAAAAAATCCTGGTTTGCTATGAACTGAAATCTCAAGCCCCAATTGGGGTTAATCAGGGATCTAGACGAAGCCTAAACCCACGGAGCCCTCTAAACAAACCTTATAAGACTCCTAAAACCCGAAATCCGAACACTCTAAACTCTAAACTTTCTCAGGTTCTAAGCCCCATATATAGCCTTAAAACCCCAAACCCTAAACACTATAAACCC